AGCAGGCACAGGCAGGGGGGATCACTCTCACCCCTCAGCAGGCCCAGGCAATCACTCTGACCCCTCAGCAGGCCCAGGCACAGGGGATCACTCTGACCCCTGAGCAGGCCCAGGCAGGGGGGATCACTCTCACTCCTCAGCAGGCCCAGGCACAGGCGATCACTCTGACCCCTGAGCAGGCCCAGGCAAAAGGGATCACTCTCACCCCTGAAAAGGCCCAGGCACAAGGGGTCACTCTCACCCATGAGCAGGCACAGGCACAAGGGATCACTCTGACCCCTGAAAAGGCCCAGGCACAGGGGATCACTCTCACCCCTCAGCAGGCACAGGCACTGGGGATCACTCTGACCCCTCAGCGGGCACAGGCACTGGGGATCACTCTCACCCCTCAGCAGGCCCAGGCACAAGGGATCACTCTGACCCCTGAACAGGCCCAGGCACTGGGGATCTCTCTCACCCCTGAGCAGACCCAGGCACAGGGGGTCACTATGACCCCTGAGCAGACCCAGGCACAGGGGATCACTCTCACCCCTGAAAAGGCCCAGGCACTGGGGATCACTCTGACCCCTCAGCAGGCACAGGCAGGGGGGATCACTCTCACCCCTCAGCAGGCCCAGGCACAGGGGGTCACTCTCACCCCTGAGCAGGCCCAGGCACAGGGGGTCACTATGACCCTGGAGCACACCCAGGCACGGGGGATCCCTTTCATCCCTGAGCAGGCCCAGGCCCAGGCCCAGGCAATCACTCTGACCCCTCAGCAGGTCCAAGCACTGGGGATCACTCTGACCCCTCAGCAGGCCCAGGCACAGAGGATCACTCTGACCCCTCAGCAGGCCCAGGCACAGGGGATCTCTCTCACCACTGAGCAGGCCCAGGCACTGGGGATCACTCTGACCCCTCAGCAGGCAGAGGCATTGGGGATCACTCTCACCCCTGAGCAGGCACAGGCACTGGGGATCACTCTCACCCCTGAGCAGTTCAAGGCATTGCTGGTCACCCTCAGCCCTGAGAAATGCCAGGGCTTGGGTTTCATACACACCCTTGAGAAAGTTCATGCATGGGAGTCTCCTCTCACTGCATCACAGGCCCAGAAATTGGGCATCCCTATCACTCCAGAAAATGCCTGGGTCCCAGCTGTCACTCTTACCCCTGAACAGACCCAGGCTTTGGGTGCCCCTCTCTCCTTAGAACAGGCTCAAGCATTAGGTATTTCTCTCTCTCCAGAACACTTCTGGGAATCAGATAAATCAGACAAATCCCATGTCTTAGGATTTCCCCTTACCCTTGAGCAAGTCCAGCCTTTGGGAGCTCCCTTCATTCCAGGGCAATCCCATCCCATGGGGGTAGATGACCTAAAATCAAGAGCACCTCTCATTAATGAACAGCTCTCACCACTTGGTGTCCATCCTCTTTTAGAACATACCCTGAAAGTTGGGATTGTGCCTGTTACTGATAAATCTGTCACACCAAGTGCTCCTCACATTTCTAAGAAGTTACCCACATTGGATCCTTCCAGTCTTAGATCACTTCAAAAATTGAAGGCTTCTGTCCTTCCTAGGCAATCCCCAGCATCTGCTGCTATTGCTGAGAAATCCTCTGCATTGGAGGTCTCTCCTATTCCTTTGCAGATATCACAGTCTCCTCTCTCCCAAGCCCCTGGTAAATCACTAGGAGTGAGAATTCGTTCTGAGCCTGGGAAACTCCTTGCACCACAGACTTTTCCTTCCTCTAAACAGACCCTGTTTTCTAAAGGTCAATCCACCTCTGTTGAGTTTGTAGCACCAGAGGTCCCACTGACTCCTGAGAAATTTCCCATAGCTGAGACCCTGCCAACTTCAGGGCAGCCTCTTACACTGGAGACCCTTCTCGGCCTTCAGCAGTTCTTTTCCTCTTGGGGCTCTAGGACTCCTCAGCTACCTCTGATATCAGAAGCCCCTCTGGTCTCCAGGCAGCCCCCTATATCTGGAGTCCCACTCACCTCTGCACAGATTCCTGATCTCTTGGCTCCTCTTTCTCCTAGGAAGCCCTTGGTTCCTGGAACCTCTTCCATCCATGGGGAGCTCCTGGAACCTAGACCCTTAATACTCTCTGAGCAGCCCCAGGCATTCCAGCCCGCTGCTACCTGTGATCAATCTCGCTATCTACAAGCCCCTTCTCCCCTTGGGCAGCGTCAAGCTTCCCCACTGTGGATCCCTCCCACCCCTGGGCATCTTCCAACATTATGGACCTCTCCAACTCCTGGAAAGCCCCTGAAAGATTTGTCCTCTTCTGTCTCCAAGAAAAGTAAGGAAAGATTGGCAATTATTTCTTCTCTGAAACCTAATTCAGCATTTGTTCATCCCAGTGCTACTGATTTCAAGGTAACTCAAGCCCCTTTCACCACTAAGAAGTTCCGAATATCAGAGGCGTCTGACACTTTGGAAGAAATCCCGATATGCCATGATCCTATTGCCATGGAACAATTTAGAACATTTCAGTCCTATCTCACCAATTACAGGACACCAGTATCACAAACCCCTTACATTCCGACTCTCATGAAGCCTATAACATCACTACCCTCTCTTACAACTAAACTACCCAAAACATCACAGATCTCATCTTCTGAATGGGACCAGAAATCCAAGTTCTCCCCTATAGACAAGTCCTGGATACTGACTTCAGTTTCAGGTACCAAGAAACCCAAGATGCTGGTGCCCCCTTCCACTCCCCAAGAGCTCAAAGAGCAGAGATATTTTGTTGATGTAGAGGCTCAGAGAAAGAACCTGATACTCTTAAATCAGGCCACAAAAGCTTCTGGACTTCCTTCACAACTACACACAACAGCTAGGAATCTCATAATTGAGACACTTCATACGGACACAGTTCGGCTGGGATACTTATTCCACAAGTACATTGCTTACAGGCTGATCCAGCGTGCAAGGTAGATGTAATATTGAAGGTTCAGTTTTCTGGTTTAGTCCTGATTTCAAATATCCTCCCTTCATTGCTCTATAAGTATATACATGTTTGTCGGATTAGATGTTCTAAAATATTCTCTCTCTTTTTTAAATTTTTAACGTTCATTTACGTTTGAGAGCAGAGAGAGACAGAGTGTGAGCAGGTGAGGGGCAGAGAGAGAGGGAGACACAGAATCGGAAGGAGGCTTCAGGCTCCAAGCTGTCAGCACAGAGCCCGACGAGGGGCTCGAACTCACAAACTGTGAGATCGTGACCTGAGTGAAGTCGGACACTTAACCGACTGAGCCACCCAGGAGCCCTTCTCTCTTTTTTTTAGTGCTTATTTTTGAGAGAGAGAGACAGAGCGTGAGTGGGGGAGGGGCAGAGAGAGACACACACAGAATCTGAAGCAGGCTCTAGGCTTTGAGCTGTCAGCATAGAGCCTGACACGGGGCTCAAACTCACAAACCGTGAGATCATGACCTGAGCCAAAGTCAGATGCTTAACCAACTGAGCCACCCAGGTGCCCCTAAAACATTCTCTTACAGAAGGTCTGTGGAATGAAGCCTATTTAAGATAGCAAAAGGAGATATATCTTTTTGGAAATAAAAAATGTTATATGATCTATTTCATCCATTTATATCTCTAGCAGAGATGCTCAGATATATTTTGTGGATCATTTTGATCTCCAAAATATCAACTTCAAAAGCTTAAAAATGCTTTTAGTTTTTCTAAATTTCTTTCATCTTCTTGAGTTCACCAGAAGATGTATGATTCTTAAAATGGGAGATGGCAGGTTATATACAAGGTGTTGCCATGGTAACCTTGCTGCTGAAGCAACTTGGAGGAAATAGGTCCTGGTCCTGATTTTTTAAAATTGCAAAAAAAAAAAAAAAAAAAAAAAAAAAAAAAAAAAAAAAAGATTGCAAATATAGGGGTGCCAGCCAACTGGTGGCTCAGGCAGTTGAGCATCTGACTCTTGATTTCAGCTCAGATCCAGGTCATGATCTCATGGTCGTGAGATCAAGCGCTGTGTAGGGCTCTGCACTGAGCATGGAGCCTGCTTAAGATTCTCTCTCTCCTTCTCCCTCTGCCCCTCCTGTGCTTGCACTTGCATGTGTTCTCTCTCTCAAAAACAAACAAACAAATAAAAATAAAAATTGCAAATATCAGAAATAGGTCAGGGAAAGCGACAATTGTCCTGCTATCCTTAGCACTTATGTTTGAGATTACCAACGTATTAATTTGGGGATATCTTTCACCTCAAATTACAAGAGGTCACACTAAAACCTATACTAGAAAGGGTTATCATTAATTACAGGAACAACTTATGCCATTTATTTAACAAACATTTATTAATGCCTACTATGCGCCAAGTATTGTATTAGGTGCTAAGGATACAGTAGTGAATAAAGCAGACAAAGTACCCTGTTCTCATGAAATTTATACTTTTAAGGACTGAATTAATTTGAGACTAAGGATTGGAACAGCAAGATAAAAGAGACTTATTCAAGATGTAATCAGAACTTTTCATTTCAAAGCATAAGTAATCAGATTTGTCGACAAATATTTTACTCTATACCGGTCTTTGGTGTTCTCTTTCTTTCTTTTTTTTTTTTTTTAATTTTTTTTTCAACGTTTATTTATTTTTGGGACAGAGAGAGACAGAGCATGAACAGGGGAGGGGCAGAGAGAGAGGGAGACACAGAATCGGAAACAGGCTCCAGGCTCCGAGCCATCAGCCCAGAGCCCGACGCGGGGCTCGAACTCCTGGACCGCGAGATCGTGACCTGGCTGAAGTCGGACGCTTAACCGACTGTGCCACCCAGGCGCCCCTGGCGTTCTCTTTCCAGACTGAATAATCCTTGACCTTTTTTTTTTTTCCCCAGCAAAATAAAAAAAAAAATATTTAATACACAAAAAACAACAACAGAATCAACAGGTATAAAAGGCGTTACACGGCACAAAACCCAAAAAGATACAGAGCTATTAACTTACTGGTGCTTAAAATGACTAGACAAGGACACATGAAAATGTCTCCTTTCCTCACTTAGGGAGCTATACTATTCAAAAAGTTATTTTAAAATGCCCTTTTTTTTTTTTGCTCCACTTTATGAAACCACACTTACTACTCATGTTGATTATGCCCACCCAATCAAGTAGTTATTTGGAAAATTGTATGTTTTCTATAATGAAAGTGCATTTTGTGCCACCTTGTCAAGTGCAAATAGAAAATTTCTGTACGTCAAGACCACAGCAGGGCAGTTGTATCTACCATTCAAATTCACACACACTTCTCTCAGATCCTAGAGATGGAACTCTTTTCTAGCCAAGAGCTTCATATCAAGGAAAGGATATATAAGCTAGAAGTGTGGGTAAAAGGAAGAAACATAGGCCCTGCTAGGCAGGCAGAGAGTGAAGTTTATGCTCAGCTTCCAGGACATGTGAATATTACTGGACTTTTTTAAAATTTATTTTTATTACTTTTTTTAATCTTTGTGTTTTGATTCTGCTTTTTGCCTTATAGAAAACTTTGATTTTTATATGTTCATATCATTATTTTTGTTTGTTTCATGTTTTTATTTTTATTTAAATTCTAGTTAGTTAATATGTAGTGTAATACTAGTTTTAGGAGTAGAATCTAGTGACCTATCACTTACATGTAACACCGAGTGCTCATTACAACAAGTGTCTTCCTTAGTGCCCATCACCCATTTAGCCCATCCCCCCACCTGCCTTCCCTCCAGCAACCCTCGGTTTGTTCTCTAGACTTAAGAGTCTTTTTTATGGTTTGCTTCTCTCTTTTTCCCCCTCTGTGTTCATCTGTTTTGATCCTTAAATTCCATATATGAATGAAATCATATGGTATTTATCTCTGATTGGCTTATTTCACTTAGCATAATATACTTTAGCTCCATCCACATAATTGCAAATGGCAAGATTCCATTTTTAATGGCTGGGTAATATTCCATCATATATATGTTCCAGATAATCTTTTTAAAAAAAATTTTTATGTTTATTTTTTTTGAGAGAGGGGAGGGGCAGAGAGAGCAGGAGACATAGAATCTAAAGCAGGCTCCAGGCTCTGATCTGTCAGCACAGAGCCCAATGTGGGGCTCGAATCCATGCCACTGAGATCATGACCTGAGCTGATGTTGGATGCTCAACCAACTGAGCCACCCGGGCATCCCTAAACTATTTTTGAGCAAAGAACACTTTGTAGAACCTCTGTAAATGAAGATTCCATAATTAAATGCTAAAATATAGTTTTAGAGTTGTATTAGCACAAGATCAATGTAATATATCTGAGAAGCAAGAATGGAGAGGATGTAAAATTAGACCAGATGATGATAATAAGACATTTCATTTCCATACATATTGAGGAAAGTCCTCAAAGGTACTAAATATTATGGTGACCTGTCAGGATTTATCATTTAACTCATCAACATTTCTGAACATAGCAACCACTATTTGCTAGGGACTGTGTTAGGCCTAGGGGACTGAGGGTGGCAGGATATAAAGGTGGACAAGCCATATCCCTGCCTTGAGGACATTCAAAGTCAACTCAGAGAGACACCCACACAAACAGGTGATTATATGTGGAAAGAACAATGATGGTACATGTACAAAGTATACAGAAGAGGACTGAAGACAGGAGAGTTAGGTAAAACTGCTAGACATCCAGACCTTTGGAGGCAGAGAGTCTAGCAGAGCACAGGAAAGAAGGAAGTAAAAGCAGTGCATGTACGTGTGTGTGTGTGTGTGTGTGTGTGTGTGTGTGTGTGTGTAAACCACTTTGTTGCTGGTAGAATACAAAGAATAAGCAGGATATGGCAAGAGAGAAGACTGCAAAGATAGGCTAAGTCAAAAAGAATCCTAAATGGCATGCTAAAGAACTTGTATTTTATTTTGTATGTGATAGAGGATAATTGAAACATTCCTAACAAGGGAAGTAAAATGCCACTAATATGGAAGGTGGATTTAAGGCAAGTAAAACTTCATGCAGAGGCATAAATTAGGGCCAGATGGCATCCACCCAAAAGTTTTGAAGGAGTATAAGGGTATGTAATCAAATAACCAAATGTACAGTATTTCCTGTTGTCTGGAAGGGATTCTATGCTAGGGTGATATTTTAACACTAACTCCCATCAAGGAAGGGCATCCATGCCAGGCAATCTGGTGGAATCTGTAATAAAAGGAGAATCACTGCACTCTTGAAAAAGTGAAAACTGATAGACTAAAGGAAATACAAGTTTTGTAGGGAAATCAAACTTGTTTAATCTAGAATTCTTTGAGGAAACATTACATGGACAATGAGAAACTAAATAAATGATTTAAAGCTAGTTACGTACATACACAAGAGGTTATAAAGCATCTACAAAGAAGAGAAACTTTAGATACATTATTGCATTTAACTTGTAGACGAGGAATCATTCAGGAAGTTCATCCTATTTGCCAAAGTTACACAGCTAGTAAGTAGTAGAGCTACTACATATGAATTCAAAAAGCTCATTTCCAAAGTCCTGTAAGTCTAAAGTACTATACTATATAGTATGGTATAGTATAGAATGCTGCCTTGAAGTAGGAAACTATAATGATTTTATATCCAAATTTTAATCATGCTTTCTCTTAAACACAGACTTTGAAGTCGGGAACATCTTGGCTCAGATTTCCAGTTTTGAATCTCTCTGAGACTCAACTGTGCTGTTTGTAAAATGGATGTGATAATATTTACTTCGAAGAATGGTTGCAAAGATTAACTGAAATAATGTATTTTATTTTATTTTTTAATAATGTATTTTAAATAATGAAACATTTAAATGTAAATTTTAAAACATAAATACAATCTAACACAATGATCGACCCATAGTGGATGCTCAGTAAGTGTAAAGCACCTTCCCTTGGATTGTGATGCTATATCAAATACTGTAAAAAATATTCCTTAGGAGGGAGGAGAGATTTTATCAATACAAGTGGAATTTTCTAAGAGAGTGGGAACAAAAGGTAAGAAGATTTGAATGGCCATGATTCTAGAGAGGGCATTTTAAATAATTAGATACTTCAGCAGTTACTACTAGACTCAGTGTTTACATTAATAAAATTAATTATCTTTAAAAAGCCATGAACAGGGGCGCCTGGGTGGCTCAGTCGGTTAAGCGTCCGACTTCAGCTCAGGTCACGATCTCGCGGTCTGTGAGTTCGAGCCCCGCGTCGGGCTCTGGGCTGATGGCTCAGAGCCTGGGGCCTGCTTTGGACTCTGTGTCTCCCTCTCTCTCTGCCCCTCCCCCGTTCATGCTCTGTCTCTCTCTGTCTCAAAAATAAATAAACGTTAAAAAAAAAATTGAAAAAAAAAAAAGCCATGAACAATAGGGGAGCCTGGGTGGCTCAGTCGGTTAAGCTTCTAACTTTGACTCAGGTCATGATGTCACGTTCATGAGTTTGAGCCCCATGTTGGGCTCTGGACTGACAGCTCAGAGCCTGGAGCCTGCTTCAGATTCTGTGTCTCCCTTCCTCTCTGCTCTTCCCCCACTCACGCTCTGTCTCTCTTTACCTCAAAAATAAATAAACATGAAAAAATTTTTTACAAATCCATGAAAAATAATTTCTCTAAGCGTGAAATGAAACTATGAACTTTCTGAAGTTTCCAAGAATTCATTACTGAATTATGATTTTAATATGAAGTTTAAATGTGATTTCAATAAGGAAGAATTATGGAGAAAATCTAAAAGACTGTGTGAATAGACAGAAAAATAGTAGGAAAGATCTGGTGTGAAAACCAAGGTTTATTGGAGAGATATAATGCATAGCATAGTGATTACAGTCAACAATATTGTATTTAAACTTAAAGTTGCTCAAAAACCAAATCTTGATTGCTCTCCCCACCCCCCCCCAAAAAGATACTTATGGGATGTGATAGAGGTGTTAGCTAAGGTTACAGTGGTAATCATATTGCAATATAAATGTATCAAATCAACACGTTGTCCACCTTAAGCTTACACAATGTTATGTCATTTGCATCTCTTATATATACAACATATAACCATTATATATATATGGGAACAATGTTATTTATAGGAATGGATATGGTAGGCATTCTGTAATGCGTGTAGAGAAATGATTAAAAACATGTGTAATAAGGATGGTTATAGGAGCAAAAAAAAAATCATAAGATATGAAAAAATAAGGCTATTGGAAAATAATTAAAATTAACCAATTAATATGGAGTTAACACATTTAAGTATTAAATAATCCATATATATAGTATGTTCTGAGTTACTAATTATAGCCCACAAGAGACCTAAGAGTTATTCTGTGTGTGTGTGTGTGTGTGTGTGTGTGTGTGTGTAAAATACATATATTCAGAAGAATATCTGCAATGGGTTATCATTGCCTACCCTCCTCACCCCACCCCCCAAAATCCAAACTTCTTAACGTGCCTTTTATGATCTTTCAGAAGCCAGCAATTTCAGTATTGTCCTCCACTGTATCCTTTCACAGATCTATGGTCTAAAAGTCTCGGAATACTCACCACTCCCAAAATATAACTCATTTTCTTGCCTTTGTTTATAGTATTCCCCTGATTCCTCCTCCTCTTTCCCTAAACTTTAGTGACAGAAAGATTTACCTGAGAATTTGTTTAAAATACTGATCCTGAATCCTACAAGATTTTGATTCAAGAGGTCTAGGAAAGCACCCTGGAATCTACATTTTCAATAAGCACCACCACCACCCCATCACCCTGCCCAGATGATCAGTTCAGGTGATCAAGGTCCCCATTTTGAGAAATATTGGTATCGTGGAAAGAGAAAAGATCTGGGTTTGCTTCCCTAATCTATTAATTATGTAACTTTGAAAAATTACTTAACTTTGCTCAGATTGCTTTTCCTCTCCTATAGAACAGAGATGGCAAAACACTATCTGTTTAAGAGACACAAACTTGGTGGTATGCATTATAGTAAAGAGAGAGTATATTTTTATGACTGTTCCTCAAGATCCTATGTAACAACTTCCTATGAGGTCTTCTTTATTCCTCTTGTTAGTATGAATTACGCTTTCCTTTGTGCTCAAATAGCATGTTTATAAATAAATAAATAAATAAACAAACAAACAAATAACATTTTAGAGAGCGTGCAAGTGGGGGAGAGGGGCAGAGAGAGAAGCTTAAGCAGACTCCACAGGTGGAGCCTGATGCAGGGCTTGATCCCACCCACAACCCTGGGATCATGACCTGAGCTGGAATCAAGAGTCAGACACTCAACCGACTGAGCCACCCAGGTGCCCCAGCATTTTTATATTTCTGTTTAGCCTTATTTCATTCTATTTGACACAGTTAATTTATTAGTCTCCTATTCTGGCTTGTAAGTGCTTTTAAAGGCAAGGACACTGTCTTTCTCATAACTGTATCGAGTACCTTCTATAGGTCTTATCAGTACTAAAGTTTTAACATAATAATAAACAACACTACTGTAACACTAAAAAACTCCAGAGTTTATGAAAACTTGACCATCATATAGTTTTTTTGAAAGTTTAGTCATGTAACGAACCAGATTAAGGTCTCATTAAGCAAGCCTCCCACCCCTATCACATCCCTCTCTACTTACTACTGATGAGAACTGAAAGTAACTAGGTTCAGGTTTGCTTAAATTAGGATCAGTAGTTATACCGATCTCACTCTTGTTAATTTTTTTTTTCAAGAAACAACCTAATCAGGCGATTACAAGTGATCAAAAACACCGGGAAAGGTTATGAAACCCGGAACCTCTACATAATGCTGAGCAGAATTGATGAGTACCAGAAAAAGGTGATGCAGGTCTGGACCAACAAGCAGAAGTCTTTAGAGCAGAAACGGAATCAGTGCCTGAGGAAAATGATATTCCTATTTAGCCAGGTATCTTGTTTTCTATTCCCTCTCCCAGTGTGTTGTAAGAAAAATGAAAGTGGTAAGCTTTGAAAATAACATTTACCTGGAGATGTGTATATTAGTTTCCTAGAGCCGCTGTAACAAGTTACCACAAACTTGATGCCTTAAGACAACAGAAATATATTCTCTCCATTCTGGAGGAGAGTTTGTGGAATCAAGATGTTGGCACGGCTGGTTCCTTCTGGAGAAATTTGTTCCGTGCCTCTCTCCTAGACTCTGGTAGCTGTCAACAACCCTTGGCATTCCTTGGCTTGTAGCTGCATAGATCCAGTCTCTGCCTCTGCCTTCTCATGGCCTTCTTCCCAATGTGTCCTATATCTTCTTTTCTCTCTTATAACACCATGTATCATTGGATATAGGACCCACCTGATTAATCCAGGATGATCTCATCTTGAGGTCCTTAATTACATCTGTAAAGACCCTTTTTCCAAATAAGGTCACATTCACAGATTCTGGGTGAATATATCTTTTGAGGGGTTTACCATTCAAGCCAGCACACCATGACCTCAGTGAAAACTCTTAAATTGACAACAGGGATGCTGACTGGACTCCCTACATGGGAAAAGATTAGAATTGGAGAGACTTCTAGAAATGCTCAACTCCTTCCTAGTCAACCCACATCTACCAGTCTCTAGATATAAAACCTCTTAAGTCACCACTCTCCAACAGATTCATGATGGTTACTTTTCTCCTCAAAACTATCAGAAAGCAAATTTTAATAGCATGAATCAATAAAGGAGATAAGAGTTTACTGAACTTGCTTACATAGCACCACACACAGAATCTGATCCTGTTAAACTCTGGCAAATACTCATTATGTCCCAGAGCCCCTCTGAGATAACCATTAGTATGCTTTTGGGGGTGACAGTGGCCTTCCAGAAAGTTACAGGGCTGAGATTAGAATTATTTGTTCTGGGACTACATGCTCAAAATGGAGTTCTGGAACATTCTTGGAGTTCTAGGACTATTTTATATCTATATATCTTTTTCTTTCACTAAATTCATTTATAAAATTACTTGCTACTTTTTTTTTGATTTTTTTAATCTTTATTTATTTTTGAAGGAGAGAGACACAGTGTGAGC